CTAACACCATTCAGAGAGACAGCCTCTTATTGCCTACAAATCCTACCTCCCCCTACAATGCCTGACTCACTGATTCTGCCCGAAGAGAGCTCTCCAGCAGTGATTAACATATCTCAGCCTCTCCAGCCAGGGCTGAAACCACTAAACCGATATGCAGCCAGACGTGCTCAAAGCGACTCGAGCCGCTGACAGCAGCAGTGCATGAGAAGACTGAGAGCTCACAGTGGCTGTACCTGGGATGGTGTTGTCCAAGACGAAGGCAATGCTCCCCCCCACAAACATTTCCGTTGTCAACAGCACTGTTAGTATCTGGTCCACTTCGGGAACACCTAGGGAACATGCAGCATGTTACTCCAGGTGAGTGGCTACTATCTTCTGACTGAAATAAGAAGAGGGCCTGTGTTTAAGGAGGACTGGCCGTTTCCTAACTAACGAGTGAGGCCATGCAATAAATTAATGATTATGACTCAGGCATTTGTGGGCCAAGATCAGATTAAATTGATATTCAAAGACATTGATGCTATCTACCTCCCCTCCTGCCTTCCCTCTGTTTTTATGAGCATCTCAGGCCCAGCGACTCACTTATAGATTAGCTGGTAGCCCATTGTCCATTTGGTTTTATTGGAGTTCCTAACAATCTAGTTTACAAAGCACACGGTGTGTTGGGATGCAGAGGGTAGCAGTAAGCCCCTATCAAAAGGGAGAAGAGACCAACTGCTGTGAACAAAAGCAAGCTAGAGTGTAGATCTCATATGGAGCACGACAAACACACTGAGGGTGTGTCTAGACTACAGGGTTTTGTCGACAAAAGTGGACTTTTGTCGACAAAACTATACCTGCGTCTACACTACTGCCGAGTTCTGTTGACATAACGTCGACAGAACTCGGCAGATTTGTAGACGGCGTTAACCCTCATTCTACGAGGAATAACGCCTTTTGTTGACAGAGTTCTGTCCACAAAGTTCTGTCAACAGAAGGCATTATGGCATCTACACTGTCCTTTGCGTCTACACTCTCATGTCGACAAAGCGGCTTGCTTTGTTGACAGCACTGGATGCCATCTAGACGCTTTGTCGACAGAAGCTTTGTCAACAGTATCTGTCAACAAAGCCTCTGTCGACAAAAGCCTGTAGTCTAGACGTACCCTTAAAGCCCTCCGCCATTCCTACAGAAGTGACATACACTCCCTACAATCATTCCACCCTAAGTCACTTGTCCCACTCATTAGCATCCTGCCCAAGAGTCCCTCAGTCTTATCTGCTTAGATGCCAAGAATTCCGTAGAGTCCCCAGCAGGGGAGGTTAAGCGTGTACCTGTGTTAATGGCATTGGGGTGCGAATCCAAGTAGTTCGGCACCGTCAGCCCGAAAAACATTGCGAATCCCAGAATGAAAAGATTGCGGGAGGAGTTCATGTCAACGAACTGCAGGTTGGACAGGCCCACAGCTGTGATCATGCCTGCAAAGGCACAAAGAGAGACGAGGCAGCCTTGCTACAGACACGGGGAGTCTGTGTACGAGCCGGGCAACGCAGATGTGGTCACCTGCTGAGTCCCTGGGACTGCGAAGCAAACAAAGTAGGTCCCACTAACTACAGCCAGCACGGGGCTGGAAGTCATGCTGGTTTAACCAAGGAGATGGCCAGCACGAGAGACTCTCGTGGCACAGCTGCATGGCCATGCTGTGCTGGCAGAACCCATTGTGTGGACACAGCTGATACTGACAGAAGGGCTGTGTCTAGACTGGCAAGTTTTTCCGCAAAAGCAGCTGCTTGTGCAGAAAAACTTGCCAGCTGTTTACGCTGGCCGCTTGAATTTCCGCAAGAACACAGACAGTCTCGTGTAAGAAATCAGTGCTTCTTGCGGAAATACTGTGCTGCTCCTGTTCGGGCAAAAGTCCTTTTGTGCAAAAGGGCCAGTGTAGACAGCTCAGATTTGTTTTGCGCAAAAAAGCCCCGTTCGTGAAAATGGCGATCGGGGCTTTTTTGCGGAAAAGCGCGTCTAGATTGGCCACAGACGCTTTTCTGCAAAAAGTGCTTTTGCGGAAAAGTGTCCGTGCCAATCTAGACGCTCTTTTCCGCAAATGCTTTTAATGGAAAACTTTTCCGTTAAAAGCATTTGCGGAAAATCACGCCAGTTTAGACGTAGCCAAGGGGTTTCTCATGAGTGCAGAAGCCCCGGTCATTGTGGATTCAGCGCCTGTTTAACGAAATCACTTTGGAAACCGATTGGAAGTTGTGCTGATTTGACGGTGGAGGTGGACAACGCAAGGGCTGCCACAAGGCCTTGGTAGCACTGCCGCTTAGGGTCACGAGACAGAAGCAGAGCTCACACTACAGGCAGACACACTACAGGCAGACGCTGCGATTCCCACTGCTCCCTGCCCAGCCACGCTATGGGCCTGCTGCGGTTTCGCGCCTTTAAGAGGGTTCACTGTAACAATTCCGAAAGGAAAGCAACACACCAGGCAGCCAGGTTTCTTGGGCAACACTGCAAATCTCCGCCTGTAAGTCACGTTCAGGCCAATCACGTTTCAATGGATAAACGTGGGGATGATGGGCAGGAAAGAGCCCTGCAATGCAACGTGCCGTTTGCCTCGACACCCCGCGGTTGACACGTATGATCGTCCCTCGACAGAAACAAGGAGTCGCCCTGTGGCACCTTAGGGTACGTCTACACTGCAGGCTTATTTCGAAATAGCGCGTCTACACCACAGGGAACCCTCACAATGAGTCCGAATCAGGCTTCCCTAATGAGGACGTGCTACCTCGATTTTGAGCCCCCAGAGGCACTGGGGAGTAATTACTTTGAATGGCCCCGGGGAGGAGCTATTTCGAAATAGCAGCAGTGGCGCGTCCACATGACCGTTACTCTGAAATAGCTATTTTGGAAGAGGCGTTATTCCTCGTGGAATGAGTTTACAGAAGTTGGAATGAGCCGTCCGTTGTTTCAAATGTATTTCGAAATAACGGAATTGCTGTGTCAACACTTGCATTGTTATTTCAGAATAAGGGCCATTACTCCGAAATAACGCTGCTACAGAGACATACCCTTAGAGACTAACAAAAATATACCAGAGCATGCGCTTTCGTGGACAAAACCCACTCCCTCAAATGAGTTGGAGTGGAAATAACAGAATCCAAGATCTATATACCAGCAAAAGAAATGCCTGTCAATGGTAGGACCCGTGTTAATGAAGCTATATAAGTGGGCTGGATGTGTCCCATTCCTGGCTTTTGATGTGAAAACGCGCATGTTATAGGCAGGAGAAATTGGCTTTGTAATGTGCCAACCAGTTAACGTCTCCAGATTCTCGCCATGTACGTTACCGAATAACGTGCAGAACATCCCTCCGAGGATCGGGTCGGGGAGGGAGGCGAACAGAGCCGTGAACTTGCCAATGGTTCCCAAAACAAGCATGATCCCCGCTCCATATTGCACCACTCTTCTGCTGCCCACCTGGAGAGGAAAACCAGCAGCAAGGGAAGGTGAGCGGGCCAGAGTCATCCCAGGCTTAATGGGACGCAGCTCTGTGACACAGCCAGCGACCGGGGCTCAGAGCAAAAACTCCAGCAGGCTTGGCTGTGGAGAAGCCTTTGCCAGCTGCCCCCGGCCAAGCAAAGCGGGGGCGCCCCATTCCAGCCGAGCCGAGCTGCTCAGCCGGTCGCTACGAGTGAGATGAGAGTAGGCCAGAGTCTCTGCTCCTTCGTTTCCACCCCACAGCCCCTCCCTCGTTCGGGGCCAGGCCGGGCTCTAGGGCAATTTAGAGCAATATTAGTCAGTGCTGTTACCCGCTGCCTGAGCCCTGCTTGCCAGCCCATCGGCTCCCCAATGGGCCATCGGCTGGCCCCCGCGCCCCCCCCCCCCCCCCCCCGGGACTAGCCGAGCCCTCGCGACGCCTTCGGCGCAGCAGCCTGGAGCGGCAGTGAAGGAAACTCGCACCTCGGGGTCTGTGGGGCGGAGACCCAGGAAGGGTTTTACAGCCGGCCCTCTGGGGCACCCCCAGCATGAGCAGGAAGCTCGTGGGAGACGCTGATGTTCCCGGCAGCTCCTGCGAGAGGCAGGCAGCTGTGCTGGGCACCGGCTGACCTGTCCGGGGGCCAAGGGCTTTGGGGACCCCCCCTGACTCAGCCCAAGTAGCTCCCTGGCCGGTACCTTGGTGATGCCCAGGACGCCGATGTTGGGGCTGGAGGAGGTGGAGCCGTTGCCCGTTCCCAGCAGCCCGGCAATGATGCAGGAGATCCCCTCTGTAAAAATGCCTCTGGAAAGAGACCCGCAAGAGCTGCTCTCAGGGCCGCGTGGGGCGAAGGCCGGGCGGCAGGAGGGCGCCGGGGGCAGACTATGAGGGCAGACCCAGCCAGCACTGGGGGGTGCAGACAGGACGCACGGGTGCAGCGCTTCCCCTGCCGGCGGGGATCGCTCCATGGCCGGGGCATGCCCCAGCTTCATGTAACCAGCCCTCGCACAAGCATGGGCGAGGTACAGCCGCATGCACAGGGCGTGTAAGACACGTGTGTGGCGTGTTCTATGCACTCGATGGGGCACGTTGTCCTGGTCACCTGTTGGGGAGGCCAAGCCCAGCCAGGAACCGGGTGTCAGATTTGGGTGCCAAACAGTCCGTCGTGTACCAGCACGTACGTTTCCATGGCGCTGACCCTGCAGCCGACCCCAGGGGCTGGCCAAACATCAGGCCGAAGTCAAGGACATTTGAGAACTGGGCTGCACCCGCGAGCCCCGTGTCCTGGCTCCTGCCCCTGCTGCCCAGCAGGACCCGTCCTGTAATGGCGCAAACCCCATGGCTCCAGCACAAAGCCCGCGGTCCAATCTAGCCCGTGGGGTGGGCGAGCAGCTGGTACGTACCGGTTAATGGCGTGGATGGGCGGCGCCGGGGCCCCTGCCAGCCTGGCGCAGGCGTAGTAATCCCCGATGGACTCGATAATGCCGGCCAGGGTGGGGAGGAACATCCAGCCCCACTGACCTGGCCAGGCAAGGCAGAGCGGGGGATGAGCCCCCGGCCCTCCCTGGGTCCCAGCCTTCCCCGTGGCCACGTCCACTCGGAACCGAACTCCCCGGTGCCCTGCCCAGCTCACGGGGCCAGGGTCTCCCGGCAACGGTTGCTCGGCCCATTCTCTGCCGGACAGAGCCTGCTGTGGGCTGGGAGCTGGCACGGGAGCGGAGCCTGTGCAGGAGGAAGCCAGCTCAGGTCACGCCCAGCCAGCCTGAGCCACTCTCTTGGGCCCCCCACTCAGCTGTGGGCGTTACCCCTCCCTGGGGGCACTGTGCTCCAGGGGAAGAGACAGAGGGTGATATTTTCCCCACAGCAGCTCCTTCCGGCTCTGCCTAGGGGAAAGGGTCATTTTGCCCCCCGCATCTGGGATCCAGCGTGGGGAGCAGAGCGAGGGGGGCGAATCCTGAGGATCGGTGGCAGATACTGAGCAGGGGAAGGGTCCCCAGGGCCTTGCCTTGACCGGGGAAGTGGGCAAAAGCACCATGCAAGCTGGGCTGGTGTGTGCACTGACGGCAGGCAAATCCAGCTGGTGCACGGTGCGGAAACGTGCGTCCACTTCTGCACACCGAGTGCCCCAGTCCCTCGCACCGGGGCTGACCCAGTCAGGGGAGACGCTCGCCTTCACTCACAGGGGTAGGGGAGGCGGAACCAGGGCGCAATGGACATGATCTCCCCCCTGGCGTCCGTCCGGGCCTTGTAGCCGTAGGCCTCGGCATTGCGTGGGAACACGTCCGTGAGCGTTAAAACGTAGCACAGCAGCCACACCACCATGATGGCCAGGATGATCTGGGGAGGGAAAGCAGAGGCCCCGCGTCACGTAACTCCCGGGCCCACGGAGCAGCAAGAGCCGTGGGGAGGGCTGCTCCAAACGCAGCCGGAATCGCCCCCAGCTGTAGCAGGACCTAACCCGTCCTCTAGAGGGCAGCGCTGACACCAGCTCACGTGCCCAAACGCACCAGTACTTTAAGGTTTGGAAAAGTTTGGTTAACTCCCCTCTTGCCTGGTTCATTTCCCTTTTCCAAGGATTTCTGCTGGCCTGGCTTCAGGCCAGCCCGAAAAGAGCCCAAATGCCAGCCCCACGGCCATGCTTTCTGGATTGCCAGCCCACCCGCACGGCCTCGCGATGGCAGCCCGACACAGCAGCCCGGCAGCACTGTATAGCTCATAGCCATTTCTGCCACAGGCCTGAGGCCCGGGGCGCCCAGCCCGCTGCCCTAGCTCAGCCAGCACTGGCGATTAGCGGAGGACGGGACCGTCCGTACCGGGAACATTTTGAAGATCTGTAGCCTGAACACGACGCAGCCTTTCCCGCATTTGTATCCGGGCAGCCGAAAGGTCACATTTCTCAGGTACTGGGCGAACAAAACAATCAGGAAAATGGATCTGTTGGGAGAGGAAAGAGCCATTAGAGGCAGAGGGGATGCGTGGAGGGCCCCATTGTTTGGAGAATGTTCACGCTATGGGCCAGGGCCCATCTTTTGTTCTGCATTTGCAAAGCACCTCGCACAACCGGACCATGGTCCATGCCTGGCGTGCCTGGGCATGTATAACAGCAATAATAATAATAATATATTTGAACCCAGACAGTTTTAACCAGGTGCAGGCTGGAACATACAAGCTAGTCCGGATTTACGGGGCCCTTTGCAATGCTATTAAACTGGTGCTCCAGGGCCTGATGGCAGCCAAGGGAAAGGCATGACTTTTTTTAGAGACGTGATTTTCAGCAACACCCTAATGAAATTGTTTTAAAGCAAATTTTAACGGCCCAGTCGACTAACCCAGTTAGTTCAGACACTGACAGCAGGTACCTGGGGTCAGCAAATGCCTGTTCAGTGGTGTCATTCCCACTGGAGTGGCTGTCACAGGTTCAGTGTCTGCTGATGGCCCTGGCAGGCTTGTTCAATTTGAAGTTAACTAGCTCCTCTCCAGAGGAGGCAGAGCCACAGACAAGAGATAGGAAGAGGCAGGTGGGTGGGCACTAAGACCCAGGGGTGCCCCCAATTTTTGGGTGCCCTACACTGCTGCATATTCTGCGTATGGGTAAGGATGGCCCTGAAGCCAGCGTCCCTCGGGCTATGCACAAATGAGAAGAAACGTTTTCATTTGTTTTTTCCAAGAAGAAACGAGGAGACCTGGTCTGGTGTATGAGAACATGCCTGCGGGCACCAGTGGCCAATTTCCTCATTCCTGAGTTGCGAGCTGCTCTCGTTTGCTGAGGCCACGTCACAAGTAACGGGCGAGGGCTCATCCCGGTAAGGAGTTTGCCTCACATGCCGTTCCTTGCTGGAGTCAGCCACCGGGCCCGCGCTGGGCGACCACAGCAGAATGCGTCGGGGGTTGAGTGGAACTGATCAGGAATTTTCTACCAAAATGTTTTTCCTGCAGCGGCTGCAAAAAGATGTTTTCCCTGGGAAAATTTCAATGTTACTGATTTTTTTAAATGTTCTTCTTGGAAAAACAAATGCAAACGTTTCCCTTTGCGTCTGGTCCATCCATTTTGGTTTGTCCAACTGAGTCAAAGTGTTTTGTCTTTGCCTGAGCTGTGGCGTGGCCCCATGGAGCGTGGCTTTGGGTGCCTCATCCTCCCATTTTCCTCTATGGACCAGATTCCCTGGCTGGACTACATGTCCCATAGTGCATCACAGTTTCCCCACGTGCTGAAAGGCCACAGTGCATCCTGAGAGGCCCATGCCCCTCATGCATTATGGGACATGTAGTCCGCCCCAGCAGCCCGGTCCATAGAAGCGCATGAGGAACCTGAAGTACAACTCCCATGAGGCATTGCTGCGGCTCAGGCACACACAAGTCAATGTAGACGTGTGCTGAAATACTTTGACATTTCCAAACATGAATATTTCCAAACTTTTTGCTCCCCAACGAACATTCAATTTTTCAAAACATTTTGCTCTGCCAAAAATTTTGGCATTTCAACTTTTCATCCTAATTTGGGACAAAAACACTATTGGAATGTCCCACAGTATTATCAGTTAGGTCTGGTGACTGGTGCCGTATGTGCTTCCAAGACAGACAGACACACAGGCAGGTCAGTTATCAGACAGACTTTGACCCTTGCATCCTACTGAAATCCTAGCAAAGCAATGACTAACCCCATCTCTTCTTCCCCTCCCCACCTTTGCCCTCTCCCCGTTTGCCCTGAATACTCATTATCAAGTGATCTTGATTATGAAAAACCAATGGCTGTAAGGTACATGGGGTGGTACATTTTCCATATGGCATGTGCAGATGTAGGCACATGTCCCATTGGCTCCCGCTTGTCTAGAGGGAAAACCCCACGGCAGTCAGAGTGTGACGGGGGACGGAATTTAACCCTGAGTTGGGATAACGTGGAGGTGAAGAGCCAGATGTTGCCTCCAGACAGGCACCCCCAGGAGGGGTGTCACGCAGAGCTGGCAGCAGACTCCCCGGGGCCCTGGGCTGTCTCTCTATGATACATGAGGAGCCTACAGAGCAGCAATGCCCCAGTGCGAGCCTGCACGGTCCCCCGCGGCTTGGAAGACCGACAGTCCTATCAGGGAGACGGTGGGCGTGACGGTGAGAGGTCCAATGTAGCTGAGCAGTGCGCCCGGCAGCCCCACAAGCCCGATCACCACTTCCACCAGGCTGGACACGATGATCGCCCCTTGGATCTGTGGCACCAAAAGGGGGAGAAAAAGCAGGTGAGGGGTGGAGCCATCAAACGTGGTCGACTCAGCCCTGCCACATGCTGCCTGACTCCTCCCTCCGCAGACGTGCCACGGATAGGGGTGGGCCTGGGGGCTGAGTGCCATTGGCATGGCTCTGACCGTGGGTGCTGAGCCTTTCCCCCATAGGCAGGGAGCACCACAGCCCATCCTGATCCACAGGCAGGGATGGAGAGAGGGGGAAGGCTCCACCATGGAGGCTGTAAAGCAGTGGTGTCTGTGGGTGCCATGGCGCCCGCCAGGGCATTTATGTGTGCCCGCCTAGTGACCAGGCCTGGCCTGAGCCATTCTTGTGCCCCAGGTGCCTGGCCCATTTGCGGCCCCCACCCTGGGC